TTTTTGTTACATTTAAATATAATTCCATTGTGAATATATACCACATTTTCACTATTCATTTATCAGTTGAAGGTTGTTTCAATGGAAACTATTCTGAATAAAGTGGCAATCAATATGGCTGAAAAGTCCCTTTGTAGTATGGTATTGGATCTTTGGGACATATGCCGAGAAGTATGATAGCTGGGTAATATGATAGTTCCACTTTTTGCTTATGGAGAACTCTTCTCACTGATACCCACATTGACTTCACCCATTTGCAATATTCCCAACAGTGAAGACGAATTCACTTTTCTCTATATCCTCATCAGCATTTGTTGTCAGTTATGGGACAATGTTCATTTTACCCAAGTATTTTACACAGTCTTCTGGGGAAATGGCTAATGTGTCTGTTCTTGTATGGAAGATCGTTTTGTCATATTAGGCACATGCATGACTTTGTTAAGTCTTCACTTTACATGAAATTCTATCTATGCTAATTCTCTAAACATGACCCTTTTGGGAACAACACTGATCACCTGTGCATCAAACTTGAACCATTTTATATTTCTGCAATTCCATACTTTAAAAAATTGGGTTTTTATTTTAGTGTGTACTTTAGTGGCTTCCTAAAATCAAAGTGTTCTTTGAAAACTCAAGGTTTATAAATACACATTTCATTCTACATTTGCAAGAAAAAATATCATCTTTCAAGACTGAGCTCAGATTCTTTCATATCTGTGTATCCTTTCCTGAATTTCTCAATGTTCTGCATATAATCACATCCTTTCCTGTGTCAACACAATCCCTAAGGATATGTCTATTGTACTACTTACAAAAAATTATTAAATTTTGTCACTTGAGAAAAAAAATTCTAGTACAATGAAACATGATTATTTGAATTAAAACACGAGCTTTAGCATATCACCTAATTTTTAGTATCTTGGTTTCCTTATGTTTAAAATGCAGATACTAATAAAAATCCTTCATAATTCTATTTTGAAGGTTATGCAAGTTTATCTATGGAAAGCAATTAAAACAGTGCCCAAAGGAAGCATTTAATAAATTTTACCTATTATAATTGCAACCTGGGGACCTTCATATTTCCATTTAACCCACACAAGACTTAGTACTGTCTCAGGTTATAATGCATTCTGCATTAAAAATAAGTTGGAAAAAATGATACATTTGAAAGCAGAGTCTACATGTGATTCAATTTTATATATTTCTTTTAGAAAACACAAATTGAAGAAATACTGTCAGCTGCAGTCCATCCCAATTGTTAAAATGAGAAATCAATAATTTCTTTGAGATTAAATGGTGAGTATTTTCTTGGAGAATATGCCCAGGCTATGTCAAAACAGTTTAATAGGCATCCAGTTCCTTTTACTGTCCAAATCCAAGTAATTATGTGTTAATGTGCATTTATTCAAAGTTCTTATTCTTATTATTTTCCTTTCTTGTTGCTTGTGCTTTAACTGATAAAGTCCTAAAACATATTTTACAGAAAAAACAGATACCTATATTATATTACAGAAAATAATATTTTACATATCCTGGGTATTTTACTAAATTAAAAAGTTATTTTTGAGGAAAGGACTGCCATTATCATTGGATATTCGTCCATCTTATTTGAATAGAAATAAGCTAATATTAGTCATAAGCAATACCATAATATGATTTCCCTTAAATAGGTGCCAACCTCAGTATCTTCTAAAGTTGTCAACAGCAATATTTATGGCATGTAAGCCATGCCAGAAAATCACTTGACTAAATAGTGTGAGGCCATTTTAGGGTAAAACTGTATTAAACTCAGTATCTCCCCCAAATGCAGTTTTCAATGGAAGAAGTCTGATAATTATGTTTTTTATTTTATGTTGTTTCTAAAGAGAAACAGAATCTCAAATTTGAGGCTTGTTGAAGCAGCCAGCAAAACACTGTACTTGGTATTGTTCAACTTTCCATTTTTCTTATTCCTGAATCCTGTATTGTTCATACTAATTAACCTTTCTAAAAGCAGTCTCAAAGCCTTTGCTAGAAAGAGAAGGAATGTAAATATTTTATGTTTGTTTACACATATGCATACAATGTCTTAAATTAATCTCTGCTGTCATAATTCTATTCCCAAAACCAAAAGCATCAACATAGAGTTAATTAAACTTTAATTAGTTTTCTTGGGAAAAAAAAAAAAGAAATCTTGGCAACTGATGTTTCATTACATTACAAGCGAATCTTGGTATGAGAACCATGTATTCTTAGCACCTATTACAATGTGAAGTCACATACCTATAGAAAATGGTGATAATTAGATGCAATAGATTAGAAATTAGACATAATCCTCATTAATCCAATTTATAAGTAATTTATCCTTCCATCAACTAGATGATTTCCATACTGTAATTAAAATTCCAAAGATGAAATTCTAAAATCTCAAAAAATAGTTTTCAAAACCAAATCCCTATACACATTTCATTTTTATTGGTTGGGAGTAGAATGATACTCTACCAAGGAAAATGCAAAAAAAAAATCTTCACAAAATTTTCTACCAATTTTTACTTTTATCCAGTTCTGGTAACTGAAGTCTATGCATCTGTCTCAGTCAAAAATGAAGAATATGATGGCTTCTTCATTCTTTTGATAAGAAATTTCAGGTGATGTCAGAAGGCAGAAGCAGAGCTCAAATAATGGATGTTTGTGGAGCAGGGTTTGAAAGCCATATTCTCCTGTCATTACCCTGAATTTCTAATTCTATCAAATAAATAAATAAATAACACAATTGTAAAAAAAAACTACATGAAATAATCATAACCTAAAATATTTTTATTAACTGTTAGGCTTATATGATAAGATTGAGGGGTCATATAAACATAAGCTTTGTGCACTACCCTCAGAGACTTAGGCATTCTGTAGGTACAACCTCCAAAGTATCTGAGAGTTTTCTTGTCATTACTGCATTATTGTAAGCACTGAGAGTAACCAGTTTTGATTGTGACTCTTTGGACTTCAACGTCTTTCTGCTTGTTTTGTCTATCTTTTATATTCTACTCAGTTTATGAGTTTTCAGAATGCTTACCATAAATAATGATCAAATATGATTATTTATACACTTAGTTCCAAGTTATTTCATTGCTATTATTGCAACTTCTGTTTGTAGATTTACTTTAAAATAAGTTAATGTCTTTCTATCAACAGATTGCAGTAATACATTAATGTATTTGTATATGTGGGTGCATATGTTTGTTTGTGTGTGTGTGTGTGTGTGTGTGTGTGTATAGTAAAAATAATCAAAGAAAAAAGATCAAAAGGTTGAGAATTAGGGGCAATATGAAGAGTTGGGGAACTAATGTAACTATATCTTAATAACAGTTATTTTTTACAAAATAAAGAATTCACATAATCGAAGTAAAGTAATTACTTTCTGATGGGAATAGTTTTTTGTTGTTGTTTTTCATAAAAACATACATTCTATATATTCTGAAATCGGTCACATTGCAACAAACAAAACATAAGCAAAATTATTTATGCAATTGCTAGACTTTTTAGGTAAAAGTATCCTGCATAGATTCTCCAAATTCCTAAATGATTACTTCTTCAAAAATTTAACTGGACTAAAACATAAAGTGGTAAAAATTAGTGTACAGTGCTATCCAGATGTTAGAGATGTAACCATGGTCTATTGAAGGGAATATGGTGGTCAAGAGAAGGAATCTCTGGCCTAGGTGAGGACCTAATATTCCAGTTCTTCTATTCAATCACTTGAGTAAAGGACTACCAACTACCCCTCAGGAACAGAGAACATCAGTAGGAAGAAAGGTACACTCACCGTAAGGCATGCTGAAGTGTCATGTAGGGTAATTCCTGTCCACTAGCATAGTGTCCATAAGTCAGTCTGAGGATACATGAGTTTGGGCTGAGTTTTCCCACTTTCCTCAGAAGGTTAGATTAATTTTCCTTTGCCATTTTCAGCCCTTTCTTGCCAGTGCTGACAAGGACTTAAGTATGCTGGCTCTCAGACCTCTGACTTCCTCACTTTTCACTGCATCCCCCTTCTCACCATGTGATGGTTGCCATGTGGCAGACATCCATGTCAGCAGCTCAAAAGACATGCTACTTTATTCTTTGTTTGCTTTGTTAATTAATTAACTAATTAATTATTATTTTTAGTTTCTTCTCCAGTCTTCTCTTCTATGCACCTATACAGCTGCTGATATTTACCATTTGTCTGCCTTTGGGTGTTTTTCTTTTCAACGCTAATAAAATTGTAACTGGACTAAAAAAAAAAAAAAGGTAAAAAAATAAGTGTGCTGTGCCAGCCAGAGAGAGCCGGCTAAACTGGTATGTTGCCAAGCACGGTGACCTGAAGTTTTATCCTTAGAACCTACAGGGTAGACAGAGACAGTAGACTTACCCAACCCTTCCTTTGACCTCATACCCACACTATATGGCATTTGTACTCAGAAAAGTATACACATACAATAAATAAATAAGTAAATAAATAAATAATACATTCAAGAGAACTGTTGCTGAAACATGAGCAAGACAAAACCAACATATTAGAAATAAACTCTATGTAGTATGTCACATTTTAAAGGGAAAAGAATAGGGACACATCACAAAATGAAGGACTATCTGATCAACGTATAGTATTTATGCTTGGCCATTTGTCCTTGAGTCTGGAAATGGACAACAATTACAGCCTGCCTGTCAGCAGTAATACAATAACCCTATACTTTTGATGTAATCTAAGAATTTAAAATTCTTGTCATCAAAAATGGAAACAAAATATAGACTATTTTTATCAAAACAATAGAGGAACTAGAAAATAGGAGCAAGAAGGGGGAAAAGGATATTGCAAGGTTTATGGAGGCCAGACTCAGGAAGAGAAACCAAGTCTGTTGCATTTCAATTACAGTGGTCTAGTCACTGGTTTGTTCAACTCTTGTGCAAAACATCCATCCACAATACATAATTCATACCCCCACTCCCATCCTATCAAATGGTTGTAAAAAGAAATACAGCATTACCTTTCCCACATATTGAGGTTCAGAGCCCATGTATTCTTCCAGCACAAAAAACTGATTCCATACCCAGCCACGTTTAACCCGTTGGAAATGGGTTCGTCTCCCCTGAAGGTGGATAACATTTTCTTTTGGTTGTGTGGCTAAAGTCTGTTGTGGCTGTGACTGAAGTGGTGTTAGGAGACCTCCATCAAACAGGATCCAGAGAAGCAGACATAAAGAGTTCCTTGTAAGCATTGGCAAAGGCTTTCTCCCACAGTAGAGTAATAAATACTCCAGTACTTAATGTAGAGTCGTGGGATCCAGGGTTGAGATGTCTGTGGCTGTGACCACTGAGATTTCCGTTTTAATGAAGAGATAGTAATTCACACATTGATGCTCTGGAGGCCTCTGCTTTATTACATTCCATCTAAAGAAACCTATAAAATAGATAAACATACATCAAGTTCATAAAACTTCATTGTGACTTTCATAGAATCTATCATTACATCTACTATTGTTGAACAAAACATGATTAATTGATGAGTGGCTCATCCTCTTCAACCTGTTAGTTTAGATTAACTACCCCAAGTTTTATACATACTTAAATATTATCAATTACAATGAAGCAAAGTATATATTATTGACAAAAAAAGAATACATTTCTACTTGATCACCCTAAAGAGGAAATAAATTAATATTGTACAGGTGGATTATTGAGTTAGAGTAGCATTTTTAGTTCATCATGCTTAGGTATTATTGTTTCTGTACAGCTATCCTGTGCATTTTAAGCATCTCAACTCTTCATTCTAGTATTTAATAGACAATGGCACATCTCCTCCCATCCCAAGTAATGCTAATGAAATGGGTCTCCAACTGTTCACAAATATGTTCTGATCAGAGTTAAATAGACCAAAGTGGTCTTCGGACAAGAAAAAGACAAGAAATAATTTTTGATCATTCTCCTGAAGTTAGAAAATTGAAAAGATTCTACCATTGAGCTTGAAGATGATTAAATAGAAAAGGAAGATCTCATAACAATGGAAATAACTGCTGTGGGATAATGCTTTTATACACTGGTTTAATGAAATGCTGATTAGCCAGTAGCCAGGCAGGAAGTATAGACAGGATAAGCAGACAAGGAGAATTCTGGGAAGAGCAAGGCTGAGTCAGGAGACACCAGGCCGCCATCCAGGGACCACCATGTAATGGCACACAGGTAAAGCCACAGAACATGTGGCAACACATAGATTAACAGTAATAGCCTGAGTTTAAGTGTAAAAGTTGTCAGTAGTAAGCTTGAGCTAATGGCCGAGCAGTTTCAATTAATATAAGACTCTGTGTGTTTACTTGGGTCTGAGCTGCTGTGGGACCACGGGGCCACAGGAACCAGTGGGCTACAAATGACCAATAGAAAGTCAAACATTAAGAGATTTTTTTTAACAAAGTACAGCAAAAACAATGCATGAGAATTTATTCAATATATGGTGTGCTAGAGGAGAAAGAAATGATGTCCTGTTAAATAAAAGGTCTGCTATGTGCTCAAGTGAAAGGAGCTTGAAACATTTTTCTCATAATAAGAATTTCAAAGGATAGGAAATGCTCAGTAAATAAAATGGCCACTGCTCAGGAAGGAGGACCTGTGTCTATATCACCAAAACCTTCAGAGAAGCTATTGTGGTATCTCTGTCCTGTAACCTCAGCATAAGAAAAAAGGGCAGGTACATCCCAGGGGCTCCCTGCACAGAAAATGTAAATGAAATTGGAAGTCCTAGGCTTTTTGCATGTGCATACATACAGCACACACACACACACACACACACACACACTGTATCAAAATAAAGGAAAATAAAGAAATATATTATGCATTTTAATATAATAACATTTGCCTAACTGCAATATATAAGCATTGGTATTAAGGAAGAGACAATCCTTTGCCTAGGCTAAGGCAGAAAGAAGAGGCAAATGAACAGAAAATTAAATAAAACAGACCAAATTATATCAACGTGAAAATACATACAACACATTCTGAAGACAAGAGGTAAAAATATAGCAGTAGTTCTGTGTTTCGTAACAAAATATTTGGCTTAGCCAGGGTAGTTTTGCATTATATGCTAATTATAATATATGGATATATATTAAGTAATATGTGTGTGTGTATGTGTATAGACAGAGAGAGATGATTTTGCCAGCCAGTTGGCTTTAACTCAGCCCCAAACTTACTCAATTATTAATCATTTCACACTGTCAAAAATGTTATTCAGGCGGACTTCCCTTTTGGAAAACTGGTGAGTACCCTTCCTTGCCCCAGACCCCATCCCTGGGCACCAGCCACTCCAGGGAAGACCTGCCCAACTTGGCCCCAGGTTCTGGCCACCCGGCAGGTTCCCTGCTAGCCCCACCGGGAAAGATCCCCTTCTCCAAGACCCCTGGCAGGCCCTGCAGTCTCCACGCCCTGCCCCCACGCCCATCCGCCTGAGCCCCAAGCCTCTTCCTGAGACTTAGAGGCCGGCCCCCAGCTCCCATCTTGCTCCGGACTTCCCTTTTGGAAAACTGGTGAGTGCCCTTCCTTGCCCCGGACCCCATCCCTGGGCACCAGCCACTCCAGGGAAGACCTGCCCAACTTGGCCCCAGGTTCTGGCCACCGGGCAGGTTCCCTGCTAGCCCCACCGGGAAGGATCCCCTTCTCCAAGACCCCTGGCAGGCCCTGCAGTCCCCACGCCCTGCCCCCACGCCCATCCGCCTGAGCCCCAAGCCTCTTCCTGAGACTTAGAGACGGCCCCCAGCTCCCATCTTGCTCTGGACTTCCCTTTTGGAAAACTGGTGAGTACCCTTCCTTGCCCCAGACCCCATCCCTGGGCACCAGCCACTCCAGGGAAGACCTGCCCAACTTGGCCCCAGGTTCTGGCCACCGGGCAGGTTCCCTGCTAGCCCCACCGGGAAGGATCCCCTCCTCCAAGACCCCTGGCAGACCCTGCAGTCTCCACGCCCTGCCCCCACTCCCATCCCCCTGAGCCCCAAGCCTCTTCCTGAGACTTAGAGGCTGGCCCCCAGCTCCCATCTTGCTCCGGACTTCCCTTTTGGAAAACTGGTGAGTGCCCTTCCTTGCCCGGGACCCCATCCCTGGGCACCAGCCACTCCAGGGAAGACCTGCCCAACTTGGCCCCAGGTTCTGGCCACCGGGCAGGTTCCCTGCTAGCCCCACCGCGAAGGATCCCCTTCTCCAAGACCCCTGGCAGGCCCTGCAGTCTCCACGCCCTGCCCCCACGCCCATCCGCCTGAGCCCCAAGCCTCTTCCTGAGACTTAGAGGCCGGCCCCCAGCTCCCATCTTGCTCCGGACTTCCCTTTTGGAACACTGGTCTGGCTGAACCAAGTGTGCGGATAAGGCCAGTAACGAAGCACAAGGAGATGGGCAGACGTCAAGGCAGAAACATATACAACAAAATGAATAGCAATACAGCATCACCAGGCCCTAGCCCTCCTCCAACACCTAGACCTGAACATCAGAAATTGGAAGAAGCAGAAGAAAACAGCCTTATGAATGACATCATAAAGAAGCTAGAGGCTTGTGTAGAGGAAAAGACAAAAAAATGTGAAGAACGCTGTAAACAACTAGAGGAAAGGGCAAACAAATTAGAAGAAATCAATAAAGTCCTGGAAGAAAACAATAAAATACTGAGAGAAATTCAAGAAAAATCAATGAAACAAATGAAGGAAACAGTCCAAGACCTGAAAAGGGAAATAGAAAAAATGAAGAAGACACAAACAGAGGGAATGCTGGAAATAGAAAATCTGAGAAAACGATTGGGAACTTCAGATGCAAGTATAATCAACAGAATGCAAGAGATGGAAGAGAGGATCTCTAGCGTTGAAGATACAGTAGAAGAAATACATTCATCAGTCAAAGAAAACACTAAAGCCAACAAAGTCATGAACCAAAATGTCCAAGAAATTTGGGACACCATGAAAAGACCAAACCTAAGAATAATAGGGGTCGAAGAAGGAGAAGAATACCAACTCAAGGGCACAGAAAATATATTCAACAAAATCATAGAAGAAAACTTTCCCAACTTAAAGAAGGAAATGCCTATGAAGATACAAGAAGCTTATAGAACACCAAACAGACTAGACCCCCAAAAAAAGTCCCCTCGCCACATAATAGTTAAACAACTAAACGTACAGAATAAAGAAAGAATATTAAGAGCAGCAAAGGAAAAAGGCCAAGTGACATATAAAGGCAAACCCATCAGAATAACACCTGATTTCTCAATGGAGACTTTGAAAGCCAGAAGAACCTGGACAGATGTAATGCAGACACTAAGAGACCATGGATGTCAGCCTAGACTAATATACCCAGCAAAACTTTCAATCACCATAGATGGAGTGAACAAGACATTCCATGACAAAGCCAGATTTAAACAATACTTATCCACAAACCCAGCCCTACAGAAAGCACTAGAAGGAAAATTCCAACCTAAGGAAGTCAGATACACCCTCGAAAACACAGGCAACAGATAAAGCCACAGCAGTAAACCCCAACGTATAGAAGTACCCACACATCACCACCAAAAAATAACAGGAATGAACAATCACTGGTCATTAATTTCCCTCAATATCAATGGACTTAATTCACCTATAAAAAGACATAGGCTTACAGAATGGATACGAAAGCAGGACCCATCTTTCTGCTGCATACAAGAAACACATCTCAAATTCAAAGATAGACACTACCTAAAAATAAAAGGCTGGGAAAAGACTTTCCAATCAAACGGTCTTAAGAAACAAGCGGGTGTAGCCATCCTGATATCCAGCAAAATAGACTTCAAACTAAAATCAATCAAAAGAGATCAAGAAGGGCATTACATACTCATCACAGGAAAGATCCACCAAGATGAAGTCTCAATTCTGAATATTTATGCCCCAAACACAAGGGCACCCACATATGTAAAAGAAACATTACTAAAGCTTAAATCACATATAAAACCCCACACATTAATAGTGGGAGACCTCAACACCCCACTTTCACCACTGGACAGATCTCCCAAATTGAAACTTAACAGAGAAATAAAGGACTTAACTGATGTCATGACTCAAATGGACTTAATCGATATCTACAGAACATTCCATCCTAACAAAAAAGAATATACCTTCTTCTCAGCACCCCATGGAACCTTCTCTAAAATTGACCACATACTTGGCCACAAAACAAATCTAAACAGATACAAAACAATTGGAATAACCTCCTGTGTTCTATCAGACCACCATGGTCTAAAGTTGGATTTCAACAACAACAAAAACTACAGAAAACCTGCAATCTCATGGAAACTGAATAATACCCAACTGAATCACCAATGGGTTAAGGAAGAAATAAAGAAAGAAATTAAAGACTTCCTAGAGATCAATGAAAATGAAGACACCACATATCCAAATTTATGGGAC